CTATAAATATTTTACATTTTAATAAAAATACATATATGGACACTTCCATAAGAAAAAAATCGAAAATGTATGTAACTGGAAATTTGTTCTTTTACCTTGAAATGTTGTTGATATTTAGAAATAAAAATAAAAGCCATAATTTGTACAAAATGCATAAAAACAAATGAAGATAGTTCCAAAGATATCGGCCCGAAATCTAATACTTTTTATTATATACACGTGTTGGATTTATTTACGAAAACCAATTCGTTTTTATTAATCGAACAAAAAAGTCATATTCGTTATTGCCTAATTAAATCAATATTCTTTTCGTTCTTTTTTTATTTTTTGTTATAATAGAAGTAATAATTTCAAAAAACATAATAATTATGCAAAGAAACAAATGAAAAACTACAATTATAATTTTGCAGTAAGCAGTATTTTTTTAAGAAACAAGAGATTTTATAATAGTCGTTAGGTTAGAAAACTTATAAATTATGCTTGAATTAAAACTAACAAATATGCCAATAATCAAACTAGTTTTATTGAAGTATTAGAAACGAAAATTCTTTTCTATTCTTTTACTATGCTCGCGAACGGTTAATTTAGAAATTCGAAAAAGGTCGTTAAAGGTGTATGTTTGGAGCACGGCGTTGTATGGGTGCGAAACATGGACAGTGGGCGCGGCGGAAAAGAAAAGGTTACAAGCCATCGAAATGTGGTGTTACAGGCGAATGATGAGGATAACGTGGGTAGAAATGAAGAGGTATTAGAAACAGTAAGAGAAGAGAGGACTCTATGGAATTCAATAAGAAATAGGCGAGATAGGTTGGACACCTTTTTCAGGCATGAAGGTCTAGTCAGTCATATTAGAGGTAGAAATCGCAGTTAGGAGGGGTAGAGGCAGACCTAGATTAGATTATTGTTTGCAAATAGTTAAGGATGTGGAATGTTCTAGTTTTAGGGAAATGCGAAGATTAGCTCAAGATAGGAAAGAGTGGAGGTACGTGTCCAACTAGTCATAGGACGGACGACCCTATGATGATGACTATTGCAATATAGATTTGGCAATTTTTAAATATTGTAAATTTCTTAACAATACGCAGTAGGAGATATATTCTGAGTTCCAGGATTTTTAATGATATAATTTTTAGAAATAAAAGTTAACCAAAACAATTTAATTTCTGAATTCTTATGAGAAATTTTGACTTAAATATTGTACGATTTATAGTTATTGTTTTATTCTTTATTATTTTAACATGAGAGGTTATTTCGGAGATCCAAAAAGGATTATTTAAGGTGAAAGATTGGGTACGGCTCTGTGTTGGTGTTAAATGTGACCAATGGGGTATTATAGTAAAATGTTAAAAATACCGTGCTTAGGAATAGTTAGAAATGAGGTGGTGATAGAAAGAGTAAGAGATAAGGGGATGTTATGGAAGCCAATAAGACATTAAAGACTAGTTAGAGACATATGAAGGTAGGACACCATTCAGACATGAAGGGCTAGTTGGAGACAAATCAGAAGCAGAAAGAGAAAGGTTGGTAGGACAAAATAATTCGAAGTGGTCTGTATTCTGTCGAAACTGCCAGACGCGGATCGCGATTTCGATCTTTTTGGATCTCATCAGCGCGTCGCAGGCNGAGGGCACATTTATCATATTTCATATCTTATTTTTCAAGTCAACGGCAGTGTTTAGGCTAGCCATGCGATCAAAATTAAAAATGGCGTCTGGGGTTGGTAGACCAATTTTTTTCGGGGCTGGTTGAACAATTATTCAACCAACCCTAATGAAATATGTAGTTGAAAACAACACAAACAAACTGGACACAAACAGACAAATTTTTACTAATCTAGAAGAGGAAGCTTTAGCCAGTTATTTAAAGAAGGCAGCAGATATTTATTATGACTTGACGCCATATGAGACTCGAAAATGAGTTCGCAAAAAAAATAATAAAGTTATGCCAAATTCTTGGAGAGAAAGATTGTTAGCTGGTGAAGATTGGTTGGGTTCTTTTCTTAAACGTCATCCTTCTCTATTAGTGATAGTGGTATGCAAGGGAAGAAAAAGAAGGGAAAGAGCAAATATAAGGATAGGAGACGAAAAATTAGAAGAAATGGCTGATTTTAGGTATCTAAGAAGTTGGATAAGTCAGGAAGGAAGGAGTAGTAGGGATACAAAGTAGAGGATAGCGCAGGGTCGAGTCACCTTCAATAAAAAGAACTCATTTCTATACTCGGGAACGGTTAATTTAGAAGTTCAAAAAAGCTTGTGTTTAGTTATAGACACCTTCTCAGGTATGGAGGTCTAATCAGAGACATATTAGTACAGTTAAGGATGTGGGTTGTTCTAGTTTTAGGAAAGATTGGAAGCACGTGTCCAACCAGTTTTAGGACTGACGACCTTATGATGATCTTTTTGTACATAATTTTAGTATAGAGAATAGTTAAAGTTCTAAATGTTTTCCTGTCTAATCAATAATTCAAATATGCCATGCAACAATAAATACGTTTTATATTATTTTCCCAACTATTTTTTGTTATAAGTTGTAACAATATTAGGTACAAATTTTAGATAGATAAAATATTTCATTGAATAATTCACAATTTATATGAACCAATCTGCTTAAAGCTAGATAAAATGTTAAGATTTTTTTCGTCGTTAAAGCATCTTAACATCCCTCACACCAACATTTAAGACTTGGGCTGCAATAGCCACTTCTGCGTACCTCTTCACTACAAACTCTGCGGCAAGTGTCGTTGTCCCACACGGCACACGCGCCTCCATATCTTCCAGAAAGGCAGTCCCCAAGGGCAATTTCAGTGCCGATGACGAGGATGAGGAAAACGGCGAAGATTAGGTAACCCTTCATTTCGGACTTGGATGGCTGATGAAGAAACTTCTTAACGAAAAATGACACTAAGCACTCGCTTTAATAAATAATATTATGATGAGCTAAATTGGCGAAGTGTGGCGATGAACTGTTATTGTTTGTTGCATGAACTGAGGCTTATATACCCACAAAATTGGAGAATTTTATCTTTCTTAATGCATGCGGTCGTTGATGTGTTGTTTTCATGTCATTAGTGATAGAACACTTTATATTTTTATATGGTTAAACCCAAAGTATTAATTTTTTTAATTAATTTTATCCACTACAGATACACGGATAAAATTAAATTTTTATAACAACGTAAAAATTAGAATTCTCGATTGTAAATGACTGAATTTACCTTAGAAATAGTAGAATTTATTAGGTAACTTGTAATAATCTCAATTTTAACATTATCATCATAAACTAAAACAACCCATATCCTTAACTGTTTGCGAACAGTAATCTAATCTAGGTCTACCTCTACCCCTCCTAACTCCCGTTTCTGCCCCTAATATGTCTCTAACTAGACCTTTATGCCTGAGAAGGTATCCTACTAACCTATCTCGCCTATTTCTTATTGACATCCTTAGAGTCCTCTATTCTCCTATTCCTAATCACAAATTGCACATCAGTCTTACAATTTTATATACCTAAACAATAAATTAAGTAAAAATAGTTAGTGTAATGGTTGGTATTATTTTGCATTTAGCTTTTTTANTGTTTTATTCTTTATTATTTTAACATGAGAGGTTATTTCGGAGATCCAAAAAGGATTATTTAAGGTGAAAGATTGGGTACGGCTCTGTGTTGGTGTTAAATGTGACCAATGGGGTATTATAGTAAAATGTTAAAAATACCGTGCTTAGGAATAGTTAGAAATGAGGTGGTGATAGAAAGAGTAAGAGATAAGGGGATGTTATGGAAGCCAATAAGACATTAAAGACTAGTTAGAGACATATGAAGGTAGGACACCATTCAGACATGAAGGGCTAGTTGGAGACAAATCAGAAGCAGAAAGAGAAAGGTTGGTAGGACAAAATAATTCGAAGTGGTCTGTATTCTGTCGAAACTGCCAGACGCGGATCGCGATTTCGATCTTTTTGGATCTCATCAGCGCGTCGCAGACAGCTCCGACNAATCGCGATCCGCGTCTGGCAGTTTCGACAGAATACAGACCACTTCGAATTATTTTATTCGATTATGGTAACGTGCCTACCAGGTTGAGGTGAGCTACGCCGGGATTCGTTTCAGCAAGTAGATATCCATATTTTTAAATGGACCTTGCTGAAGCATACGTAATTCTAAAATGTAACACTGTACTACAGATGGCGTTTACAGCACCATTTGTCGTATTTTCTTGGTAGGATATCTTCTCAGGCATGACGGTTTAGTCAGACGTATTAGAGGCAGAAACAGGAGTTAAGAGGGGTGGAGGTAGAGCTAGGTTAGATTACTGTTCAGAAGTACTTAAGGATGTGGGCGGCTCTAGTTTTAGGGAAATGCGGAGATTAGCTCAGGATAGAAAAGTGTGGAGATGCTTGTCCAACTAGCCTTAATACTGATGATTTTATTGTGATGATAGAGATTAGAAGCAAAAACAGGAGTTAAGAGGAGTAGAGGCTGAAGACTTTATGATCACTATAAAAAAATGTTACTTAAGTCATTGTTTTTGTACACTAATAAACGGAAGAGTTTTTTTTCCATTTTGTATTTATATTGGTTCTTGAGTTATTAATAATTTTGTTGAATTCACATGTTTTTCTTAATAAACGGGTTTTGTAAAGCAGACAACCTAATAGTTTTTAGTCAATTTTTATTTGACGTTTCGGCTCTTCGGCTTTGGGCCATCTTCAGAATTTTTGTCATTAAGGAAAACATGTGAATTTATACTCACAGCAGACGTTATGAAAGAAGCATATTGCTTTTTTTGTTAATAGAATTTCGAACTACCCGCCATTTTGTTAGAATTGTATGTATTACAAAATTTCAGTTTATCTAATTTTTTTCTGAAAAAATCAAATTAGCGCTTATAGCGCCACTACATTTATTGAGTTTAGAGTCTATCATGAGAGTTCATAGAGAACAAAGATTCAAAGAGAACATCGATTAAAGATCCTAGAGAAGTGAGGAAGAACATTTATAGTAAGAACAGACGTAAAATAATTAATGTTGCTTGGTGAATTGCTTTTTGNTATATCTCCATTTGGAGGAATATATACATATCACTTATTTGTAAAATTTGTTTGCTCTTACGTAAGATTTTGCTATTGGGCTGTTTTGTAGTCAATAGTTCTTTAAATTGCAATCGTTTTACTGTTGTTCGACCTGAAGCGTCTGGTTTCAGTGGTCTTATAATAACAATATCAGGAAGTACACTTGTTAGTTTGTTGCGAATGTAAAAGATTTCATTGAAACGACGACATAATTGGGCAAGGGGATTATTATAAGTTTTTCGTTTTACCGAGAGTATTTTCAAACGGATTTGCCTCATCGAGCACCCATAAGGTAGATTTAATTATAAGTTTACACATGTGATAGGTTTGCTTCTTAAAACCCGTATGGAAAAACTCATTTTAATATCACCACTTTTTTTGGTGGGATTTTCATGAGGAATTTACGGAGAAATCCCTATATCGACATGCCCCACATTAGCCACATGAGACCCGCAAGCTACATGGGGCATGCCCCCTATAAATTCTGGTCGGGAATAGGCAATAGCTTTCCAGAATCCTCCTTTTTATCCGTTACTCTGCCCGCATTAATGTCCTAAATACGTGTCAAAAATGATCAAAAATACAATAATTTGGAAACTTGTTCTTAAGTCCTAAAATTTCTAATTTTGTAGGTTAAACATAAAATTTGCGTAGAATAATATTAAATACTGTCTTTTCTCGAGATGAAAATAAATTTTTCGATCCCACCGTAAACAGTATTTTTTTCTGGATAAATTTCATGATAATCGATTGAATCGTTAAGGCGTGAAAGTGTAATAAACAAAAAAATTCACATTCGCATTTACAATATTAGTTCGACTTGAGTACCTACAATTACAATATGAAAACAACTATAATAGGTAGTTTCATTGTTTGTTTTCGTTGATAATCGTACCTATGTAAAGCACCTGTCTTGTGTACTAATCTACAGTGTATTATAATGTTTATCCTACATTACGTTTAAGAGCAACTAGTTGTGCTTTCAACAAAGCAAGAAGAGTCCTTGTTTTTTAATAAAATAGAGTGTAACATTAGTCAAAATAATCCATAAATAATGAAGAAGTTCATGATAATGATTTTTACTGTTTTACTCGTCCTGGCTGTGATCACTAAAATTACATATGGCGACTACATTCTGGAGCGAAATTTGCTACAGAATCTACCAAGAACAGGGACGTACTGGTGGCCACTGCAGGGCTACTAGTCTGAAATTTTAGCGGCAGGCGGGCAAAGAGAAGGCAAATTTTCATTTTTGCAATCTGCTTCAATAAAATCGAAGAGCTGTATTGAGTTATTATGTAACATACGTATATTTAATTTGTAGGTTTACAATATAATGTTTGTGCACAACCGTTTTTTATTTACATATTAAAGTACGGTTCTGTAGTTGTTGATTAAATCTTTTTAATTTATTAATCTTCCAATTACTAAAGAGTTAAAGTTACCATTTTTGGTCAATATTTATAAGGAGAACTGAAAACTATTATCTTAATTCCTAATTGGAAAGGCTTTAAATCTGTAAAAAAATTACTAGCTTACGGTAAACGGCAGAACTTTCATCATCAGTCTTGGACTCCTGAGATAAAATTCGCATTTCCCTAAAACTTGAACATCCCACATCCTTAACTACTTGCGAATAGTAATCTAATCTAGGCCTATTTCTACTCCTCTTAACTCCTATTTCTGCCCCTAATATGTCTCTGATTAGATAGGAGACCAAAAATCAGAAGAAGTGACTGATTTTAGGTATGTGGGAAGTTACTATAGATAACTCAGGACGGAAAGAGTAGTAGCGATATAAAGATAAAAACAAGTCACTGCTTAGCTCGCGAACGGTTAATTTAGAAATTTGAAGAAGATTGTTAAAGATGTATGTTTGCGACGCTATACGGGTGCGAAACATGGACGGTGGGCACGACGGAAAAGAAAAATTAGAAGCGTTTGAAATGTGGTGTTATTGATGAATGATGAGTATGTTGTGGATAATAAATAGGCGAGATAGGTTAGTAGAACGCAGAAACATGAGTTAGGAGGACTACAGGTAGACCTAGATCAGATTACTGTTCACAAATAGTTAAGGATGTGGGTTGTTCTAGTTTTAGGGAAATGCGAAGATTAGCTGAGGATAGGAAAGAGTGGAGGTGCGTGTCTAGTCTTAGGACTGACGACCTTATGATGATGATAGACCTTCATGCCTGAGAAGGTGTCCTACCAACCTATCTTGACTATTTTGTATTGACTTCTACAGAGTCGTCTGTTCTCCTCTTCTTTCTAATACCTCTTCATTTCTAACCTTCTCTATCCAAGGTATCCTCATCATTCGCCTGTAACACCACATTTCGAACGCTTCTAACCTTTTCTTTGGAAAGAGAAAATTTAAAACACCAATTTCAGACAGATAGTTTTTATTTTCATTATAAACGGAAAGGGTGCATCGACTTATCTCAACCCCCAAAACGACATGCTTCCGGTTTATTACATTATTGGTTGTAAATTCTTTACCATTTCCATTACATCCTCATAAACAGGGCAATATTATTCAATCGTTTCTTAAAAGTGATAGCAAAGCAAGGCCAATACCAAGACAAAGACCAAGACTAAGACCAAGATCAAGACCAAGTCTGGGACAATCCACTAGAAGAAATGATCTTTCGTTTGGCTTTAGTCTTGGACTTGTTCGTTCGGCATTGGTCTTGGTTTTGCTAGTATAAAGACAATTTTGGTCTTAGTCTTGTAGTTTACTGAAAATGCAAGAACAAAACCAATTTTGCCCATCACTATTTATTAGTTATTGTTAAATATTGTTTTATAATTATAACGTACACTGTATCGAAAATGATTTAGTAATAATGTTTTTTTTACATATAATTTTTTTTATCGTAGATTGTAACCTTTGAACAATGTCGAAATTTGTTCCACTGGATTTTCACTACTTATTTTTAGATACGCTGGACTAAAAATACATAAGATTTTTTATTGCTGATTCAAATTACTTATTATTTGTTTAACACTAGCGTTTAGCATTGACCTCGCATTATCTTACAAATGGATGTTTTCCCTAATTGCATGTTTCATTTCCTCATTGGGTTTTTGCGATTTTTTCGTTGATTTGCGGAGGGGAATCCCAGGCATCACAATAACAAATAACTGACGGGATGCCAAAATGAAAATATGTGCTGGGCACGACTATCACCGTCGACCGCTAACCTTAAAATTAATGACTATGTTTACATTTGTATCGGACATGCATTATTTATACTCGCTGACAATAATAAAGTAATTCAAACTGTTTTTCGTTTGAAAAAATTAATGCATGTTATATGTGAATCATTTTTTTTTCCTTTTCATGTTAATTTTATTCTCTGAACTGTTGCGGTTACGAATTAATTAACCGGTATAATAATTCAGGATAAATATTTATAGAAATGTTATTTTTATGCTTACCGTGTACTTCCACCTATATCATTTAATATTAAAAATGCATAAATGTCGTAGCAGTCCAACATACAGAAGCAAATTGTGTTAGGGTAAGTAATATTTAAAAACGTCGTTAGATATTGTTGATTTGGTTTCTTTTAATTGAAATAATATTTTTTTTGGTTTATCAATGTATTTTAAGGAGTACTTATTTTATGAGAAAACCTCAAAAAAAAAGAGCTTTAAGCGCATTGATTTTGAATTGATTTGAAATATGAACGTTTGATTTTTGAAGTTACACTTCTTCTCTTGCATCAAAAATCTTAACTAGAATTGTACAGAGGAGGATGGAGAAAAGGGCGGAAGAACTATTAGGGGAAGATCAATTTGGGTTTAGAAGAAATAGGGGAATACGGGAGGCCATTCTAGCTTTACCGGTAACAATAAAGAAAACGATAGGAAAAAGAAAGAAGGCGTACATAGGATTTGTAGATTTAGAGAAAGCTTTTGACAATGTTAAATGGGACAAGATGTTAAATATAATTAAGATATAAATATGAGTTACAAAGATAGAAGAGTGATACTTAGTTTGTATAAAGAGCAACAAGCAGTTATAGAGCTAGGGCTGCAACGTAGAGAAGTAAATATTAGGAAGGGAGTCAGACAGGGATGCACACTGTCACCGCTACTTTTTAATCTATACATCGAAGACGCCATCAACATCATTAAAGACAGTACAACTGTAGGGATAGATATACAGGGGCAAAAGATTAGTATGCTTATATTTGCAGATGATATAGCAGTATTAGCATATAGTAACGAGGAGTTAGAAATAGTATTAAATAAAATGGAAGCGGTATTGACAAAACAGTACTGTATGAAAATAAATAAAAGTAAAACCAAAATACTGATATGCAAAGGAAGAAAAAGTAGGGAAAAAGCGAATATAAACATAGGAGACGAAAAATTAGAAGAAGTGGCTGATTTTAGGTATCTAAGAAATTAGATAAGTCAGGAAGGAAGGAGTAGAGTATGTTCGCGAACGGTTGATTTAGGAATTCGAAAAAGGTTGTTTGGAGCACGGCGCTGTACGGGTGCGAAACATGGACAGTATGCGCGGCGGTTTTCAAAATGTGGTGTTATAGGCGAATGATGAGGATAACGTGGGTAGAAAATGTTAGAAATGATGAGGTATTAGAAAGAGTAAGAGAACAGAGCATTGTATCCCATTCAAGCTGTAAAAGCTTTTGGCGAGTGACCAAACTTGTGTGAGGTCTCGCGTTGTCTTGGTGAAACACTACACCTTTCCTGTTGATTAGTTCTGACCTTTTCTGTTGAAGTGCATCATTCAGTTTGTCCAGCTGATGACAGTAGACTTCCGAATTAATCGTTGTGTTATCCGGTAAAAGCTCAAAAAAAACGATTCCTTTAAAATCCCACCAAACAGACAGCATCACCTTTTTTTGGTGAATATCGGCTTTGGAAATGGTTTGAGCCGGTTCATCTTTTTTGCTCCATGACCTCTTGCGTTTGACGTTGTTGTATACAACCCATTTTTCGTCCCCAGTGATGATGCGCTTCAAAAACGGATCATTTTCGTGACGTTTGAGAAGCGAATCGCAGACGTCAATGCGGCGACACAGATTTCTCTCTGTGAGAACATGGGGAACCCATACATCGAGCTTCGAGGATAATCCCAGGCCTTTCAAGTGGTCATAAACTGTTGAATTTGATAAATTTAACCTCAATCCGATCTCACGTGTTGTTATTCGCCGGTTCACATCAACTAATGCCTTTATCGCGTCTTTATCAGCTTCAACCGGCCTTCCCGAACGTGGTGCATCTTCGACATCAAAATTGCCGGATCGAAATTTAGCGAACCAGTTCTGGCACTGGCGTACTGTCAACACACCTTCTCCATACACATCAGTCAATTTCTTTCTGGCTTGAACAGCATTTTTACCCTTTCTGTAGTAAAACAGTAAGATATGTCGAAAATGCTGCTTATCGCTCTCCATATTTAAAAGGGCACCAACCAAAAACTACTGCGTAGAATTAATTGGAATTTTTCACACACAAGCCTTGCTATATGAGCTCTCAAAGCATATAAAAATTATACGGCTTAAATGTGAAGTTGGATGCAAAAGAATACAATTAAATCCTCTGTCGGGAAAAAACGAAATGACTTTCCGAACAACCCTATACTAAATTAGAAGGAGGTGATGGCGAGGTATAGTGACATCGCTTCTTTTCTTAACGTTACCATTATCTTATTATTGTATTATACGATGTTTTTGTATTTCAACCTGAAACAAGGTCATTGCATGTACATGAATCATTATTTTATTTGAAAATAGTCGTTAATAATTTCAATATTTATCATTTTTATTGCAATTATGTACCAGATAATAAGTGTCAAAACACTTGTTTTTAAATTATATGATGAAGGTATTTACTGACTGATATCTCACATACATATTTATGTCTTACATGTAAATTAGTTTATTATTTTTAAACGGCTCTATGTTAGCAAGTTATCAACCTTACAGGGTCACTTACTCGCCTGTATACCTATCATAATACCCGTATAGGGTGTCGTTGGAACTACTGGAAATAGGGATTTTAAAGGTTGTCAGAAATACTAACATATGTTATCGCAAAATAGGGGTTGTGGCCTTACACGCGATCATCCACTCATGGGTGATAGACAGTTTATGATTTAAAATTAATCATCAATTGGGAAATTTATTCTTTTTAAAATGGTTTGAAGAATTGTGCCCATCATCCAAGATCGGAAGAACTCTGATGATGTCGCGTGGGATCGAGGACAAAATAGACAACCTTAGTTTTCTGATAGACTTTAAAGCCTCATATCTCCATATTTTCAGTAATTCCAGAGACACACTATTATTTAATTTAATGTTGATTATACGAATTCTTTCGTTTATTAATAAAGGTGTTGTATAATAATAATCGACTAATGTAAAACTACGAATTTGTTGAAGATTGTTAAAAGAAAAAAGGAAATAAAGTCACGATAACTTTAGTTTCACATATCATACGTGTCCAGACGGTGTGGGTCTTTCTGATAAGTGAGGTTATATCGGTTAGGTGACGTCACAAAGTTATTAATGGCGGACTAAAGGCACCACAATGTCAAATTAGAAAAAAACGGGCTCAGAAACGTATGACAAATGTGATAATTCATATTTCTGTTTCTAGATTAGAAAATAAATGACCTAGGAAATGTTTTAATTTAAGAAACATTTAATTTTTCACAGTTTCACTGCTTTAACATTACTGCTTCGTTTTTTGTAGCGTCTTCTGAAGAAGAGCAAGGTATTTGTTATTGGTAAAAGGCATCGGGTTAGCTGTTACACAGCGAATAGAAAGAGATACATACGTAATTCTTTTTATTTTTATTATAATAGAAGAAAATAAATAAAATTATTTTAAAGTATGGAAAATCAATCTGAAACAAATGGAGCAAGATTTTCTCCAAAAAAACTACGAGTAAAATGTTTTGTTGTGTCTATGGTTGCAAAAGTAAAGCGTTTAACAATCCGGGCGTTCGTTTCCACTATTTTCCAAAACCAAATAGTTACTATGTAAAAATACAAAATTATTTCGGTAATTCGGTAAAGTCGATTGCCATAAAAAATGGCAAGAAGTTTTAAAAATTGGGGAAACAGTAATTCAGCACATGCAAGTTTGTTAGTTACATTTTAAAAGAAGTGACTATGTTCCACCTGGTAAATATTCATTTTTTTGCATAATTACTTTAAGCTATAACTAATTATTTAAAATTAATTCAAATATTAATTACATTAATCAATATTTTGAATTTTGTGGACAATGAGACATGTTGACTCTATTTTTAAAGGTTTCAAATTCTTGAAGAAAGATGCCATACCTTCCTGTAATTTGCCTTCATGTAATATAAAAGAGCCTTCAGATGACCAGAAACGAATTAGTAGAAGTATGATTAAGATTAAGATTAAATAGAGAAAAAAATCGTACTGAAGCTAATATAAACCAACAAAATGGAAATTGTGGTAACCTAAACGATGAAGAAAATATTTTAACAAGTTCTGACCTTCCAATGGCAGAAAATAATGATATAAACTCTCTCAGCGTAACTCATATCGATTATTTATATTATTTAATATGCCACAATATATTAAATGACCAGCATTCACAACTTTCTCTCCTTCAACGAAATTACGGCTTTTTATTGATGAGTTCAAGAACTCCAAAATTTCACTCNATTTAATTAAAATATATATTTGAGAGCCTTACAACAAACCCTTTCATTTGATATGTGACACGTTACAGTTTCAAAAACTTCTGCATTACAGTGGAATTGAACCAACTACATAAATAAAACACTAATTATAAAACCAAAATTCCATACAAAACCGTTTAAAAATCCTAAAAAAATAAGTGTCGACATCCAAATGCCAACCTGAATTAGAAACAGATTCTAATAGCGAATGGTATTTCGTGAAAATAAAGATCTTTGATCTCTTCAGCCCTTAACATTCAATTGTAGGCGAGGAAAGCTGTATTTCTAATGTGCTCAAACCATATTATACCTAACATTTTTCTATGTATTCTGTAGAGTTTTCTACTTTTCCATTCTGGTGCTTAGCTTTCAATTCCTTAAAATTGCATATATTACACTTTGGATTTACTTTTAACAAGCCTTTCTTGGTTTCCCAATCATATTTTAAACACAATTTTCTATTTTTTTTTTGCGGAGATTCCCCAATATTCTTTGAAACTGGCTCGTTGTGGATTGTGAATCCATCCGTCTGTCCGTCTGTCTGTGTGCATGTCACGGTTATTATATATCAATTTTTTCATTAAAAAGCTTCTAAATCTAATTTTAGGGCAGTAGCATCGAGTTGGGGCATCATGTACTTGAATTATTTAAAGAATAAGTTAATTTGTCTCTCATCTTCGGTAGACAGAAACTGAAAACTTACACTTCAGATCAATTTTCGTTGTTATCCAAGTGGTACTAAATTAAGTATAATAAGTGTTTATAAATTTGTTCACGACTTCCAACGACATATTGTATATCGTCGCAAGATAGATTCCGTCGCTGTTTTAGTGGAAGTGCGTTTTCGCTGGTAACGAATGATGATAAACTTGCAATGAAAACCCTTATTAACAGCCGTTGGCTCAGTTATTTTTAGAAAATAAATAATCATATGTATCTACTAAATTTTAAAGTTACCCACTCTCCATGTAAACCCTCGCACCGCAAAACGTCTAGTCATGAAAGCCAAAAATCATAAGGTTGGCAATATCAATCTTCATTGTTGAATATCTATTTATTTTTTGTTGTGCTTCAATCAAAACGTAACATTTACGTGTTGTAGTTTATTTAAAACTACAAAATTTTATTGACCAATTATTATCATCATCATCATCATCATGATAAGGTCATCAGTCCGAAGAATGGTTGGACACGCACCTCCATTCTTTCTTATCCTGAGCTAATCTTCGCATTTCCCCAAAACTAGAACAACCCACATCATTAACTATTTGCGAACAGTAATCTAACCTAGGTCTACCTCTACCCCTCTTAACCTCCGTTTCTGCCTCTAATATGTCTCTGACTAGACCTTCATGTCTGAGAAGGTGTCCTACCAACCTATCTCTCCTATTTTTTATTGACTTCCATAGAGTCCTCTGTTCTCCNGGCGTGTCGCTACGATCGATGCCTTTTACCAATAGCAACAATGTATTTTTTATGTACTTTACCTTAAAAATGATTCTATCAGATAAAAGTAGACTTAATCGGCTACTGTAAAATGAAAATTACTAAAAATATTTCTTTTAATGTCTAATGAAAAAATACGATCTGCTTTTCTAATAGCTTCTTTTACTTAGTGATGTCTATTAGACACCATTACGCAGTAGGTTAAGTATCAATCTTGAGATGATAGGAAAAAGAAATTAAGAACGATATTATTTTGCAGATAAAAATATTGTTTTAATGTTTATTTAATTTGCTACTATTATCACACGCCCGCTATGCTACATTAAATGCGCTGCTGTTCACATCTCAGTAATCATATGAATAATTAATTAAAGAAAAATAATAAATTACAGCAATTGCATTATAGATATATCGGAGATATCATTGAAAAAATATGGTGATAATTACGTTTTTATTACTACGTTTAACTTAAAGCATGGGAAAACCAATTAATTGGTCGTTTTAAAAATGTCGAACAAACATTATCAAATTAAACTNCGACATTTTAAAAAATTCAACCTCCAAAACGGGGGGGAATCTAAGGTGGCGACATTACACAAAATTAAAACGTTGTAAGGGTGAATTGGGTGTTAAAAGGTTTTATGGAGAAACAATATTTATTTCTGCGAGCGAAGCCGAGGGGAAAAGCTAGTTTGTAATAAATGTTTAGTTGTTTTCAAAGGCTCTCTCTCCCTCTCTCTCTTTAAAAAGCAGACAAATTTGGCGAATTGCAAAAACGAATAAATATTAAAATAAATATGACTATTACGAACGACTTACATTAAATAAATAACTTAAATGAATGTAAATGATTATAAAATGTCTATCATATATGTACATATAATATTTTATCGGAGGTTTTTCCTATCTATTTGTTGAAAACAGCAAAAAATACGTGAAATGACCTGAAGGTGATCGACTTAACTTTTTGAAAACGAACATTTTATAAAACTTATTCGACTTTATTAAGCAGTTTAAAAGATATTAGCGAATAAAAACAGGAAAGGCTTTCCTGCATTGTAGCAAAGATCGGTGCAGCTAGTATAGCTGATGATACAATATTATGGAACCAGGTGACAATTTAAGATTTAAATAAAGGATATAAGAGCTCCCTGTGCCTACTTTCACTGTCCACGATGTTATTGTTTAATTACAATTATTAATAAAAATGTTAATGTAATTAAACAACTACAAAGAACGGTCGTGTTTAAATATTTATATTTGGTATTCATTCTGATAGCTGTATTCCAAATTATGAGTACTTGAGCTAGGTTTTTGGTTAGGTTATGGTGTGAAGATCGTCATATTTTCAAATCGCTTAATGTATAAAAATGTTCTATTGCATTTCGGTGGTTTTATATGATGAGGTATTATAAATAGGCCAGATAGATTGGTAGGATACCTTCCCAGGGGTGAGGAGAATTGTGCCCATCATCCAAGATCGGAAGAACTCTGATGATGTCGCGTGGGATCGAGGACAAAATAGACAACCTTAGTTTTCTGATAGACTTTAAAGCCTAATATCTCCATATTTTCAGTAATTCCAGAGACACACTATTATTTAATTTAATGTTGATTATACGAATTCTTTCGTTTATTAATAAAGGTGTTGTATAATAATAATCGACTAATGTAAAACTACGAATTTGTTGAAGATTGTGTTCCGTTAAAAGAAAAAAGGAAATAAAGTCACGATAACTTTAGTTTCACATATCATACGTGTCCAGACGGTGTGGGTCTTTCTGATAAGTGAGGTTATATCGGTTAGGTGACGTCACAAAGTTATTAATGGCGGACTAAAGGCACCACAATGTCAAATTAGAAAAAAACGGGCTCAGAAACGTATGACAAATGTGATAATTCATATTTCTGTTTCTAGATTAGAAAATAAATGACCTAGGAAATGTTTTAATTTAAGAAACATTTAATTTTTCACAGTTTCACTGCTTTAACATTACTGCTTCGTTTTTTGTAGCGTCTTCTGAAGAAGAGCAAGGTATTTGTTATTGGTAAAAGGCATCGGGTTAGCTGTTACACAGCGAATAGAAAGAGATACATACGTAATTCTTTTTATTTTTATTATAATAGAAGAAAATAAATAAAATTATTTTAAAGTATGGAAAATCAATCTGAAACAAATGGAGCAAGATTTTCTCCAAAAAAACTACGAGTAAAATGTTTTGTTGTGTCTATGGTTGCAAAAGTAAAGCGTTTAACAATCCGGGCGTTCGTTTCCACTATTTTCCAAAACCAAATAGTTACTATGTAAAAATACNTTCATTAAAATTTAACCACTCAAGGACTTTTAAATTTAATTTTTCAAATGGTATTGTATCAGGATATAAAATAAATTTTAAAGTTTCTTCAAATTCTTTAAACTGCGTAAATCATGCAGAAAATTTCTGAATCAGGGATTGTATTACCATTGAAAACTCTTTCGTTAATGACTCTTTATTTGGCTTTTCGTGACATTCACTTTCAAAAAAAAAATTTTTGTATTCGGAAAATATTTACTTATATGAATTTGAAAGAATATCAGGATTGAAAATCTGTAACTTGACTTCGAACGCTTTGACTAAGTTAAACATTATAATGACTGTTTTATTAACACCTTGTAGTTTTATATTTAATTCATTTAAGTGAGAGCATAAATTAGTGAAAAAATATAACTTTGCTAGCCATTCTACATCCAATAATTGATTGTATTGGTCAATAATGTTCTCATTATTTAGAAATAATCTTATTTCCTCTAAACAATCTACAAATCTTTGCAAAACTTTTCCGCGGCTTAACCAGCGTACATTATTGTATGAATATTGTACGAAGAGTTTACTTCGTTTAACAATTCTTGTAATTTTCTTTTATTTAGTGCTCGTGCTGATATAAAGTAGATTAATAATTTGTAATTCATTTCTATCAAAAAAGATAAAAAAATAATTTTGTTTGTGTGCGTGCCATCAACATTTTCAAACGTGCCACTTGTGGCACGCGTGCCGTTGGTTCGCCATCCCTGTCCTAGATACCTAAAATCAGCAACTTATTCTAATCATTCGTCTCCTATCTTTATATTCGTCTTTTCCATACTTTCCTTGTACACCAGTATTTTTGTTTTACTGTTATTTACTTTCATACGATACTGTTGACGATGACGATAATAATTCATAAATAAAAACACAATGATAGCTCATAAACATTTTATTAGTAGAATATAATAATATTAGTGATACTTATTCAATTAAATAGTGACAACATTCTCAGTTTTGAAGTTGAATTGAATTGGAGTTTGTTGTCTTTTTTCTGTGAGTTTCTAACAACCCTCACACCAACATTTAAGACTTGGGCTGCAGTGACCCCCGGAACGTCCCTCTTCTTTGCAAACTCTGCGACAAGCGTCGTTGTCCCATACGGCACATGGGCCCCCATATCTTCCAGAAAGGCAATCTCCAAATGCAAGTTCAGTGCCGATGGCGAGGATGAGTAAAACGGCGAAAATCAAATAACCCTTCATGTTGAATTTGGTTTGGTTCGATGATAAAAACACTGGCGGAATATATAACTTATTGTTAAAACTTATAGATGTTATCGCAATAAAAAATTGTGATGTTCTATAGTTTGGTTCATGGCACCCTGGCTTTATATACTCTTAAAATTGTTGATAAAGGAGTGCATATTTGTTTTGTTTTTGAGTAGTGGTACACAAAGGTGTCATCAACATACATCCTGGGAATAGTAAACAACCGTCTTCCACTGTTTAATAATAAGCGTATTTATTTAACTGTGTTAACTGAATACCTTCAATTTTCAGAATTGTGATGCATTTCTCTAGGAGCTGCAAGCCTTTTTTTCCCCTAAAATATTTTGTTTAATATTTTGTTGCTACAGTATGTCGATTCATTCATTGCGAAAATTTTCAGAGTATACTTCCTGTTGATCCAGAACATTGAACTTTAGAATAGGAGAATAATCAAATTCTAATTCATTATGGTTTAAAGACCGTAATGTCTTCAGTTTTGAAGTACACCCTTGCTATCCTTTATTCAGTAATTGTAACCAACATATACAATATATCATAGGTTCTTTATCTATGGTTCTAATAAATTTATTAAAATAATTTTGTGGAGCTATCTCCTCTCATACAAACTTGTGGAAGAACCTGAATACTAACAGGATGTGCCATGATACCTAGGATGTTGTTGTTTAATTGAATCTCCCCTTGTCTAGGCTACTGAACTATTCGCTAATAATAAGCTAATCTAGATCTTTCTGTAGATCTTTTTATTCCTGTTTTGACTTCTAATATGTCTTTAATGTTTCAAAAGATACTCTAGTATCCTATCTCCAATCCTTTTATTTATTTACTTTCTCCAATGCCCCTGAATTTAGAGTATTTCTTGGGTACGGTATTTCTATCATTCGTTTATAACTTCAAAATTCAAATACTTCTTATTTTTCTTCTTTTGGCCGCACCCATCTTTCACATTTCGTACCCGCACATAGTTGTGCTTCAAAATGATGCTTTTGGAATTTCCAAAGGGACCCTGGGCTATTCTCCGTTTTACTTTTTACGACTTTTTTCAACTCTGAGCTTTCTGACTACTGTTTTAGGGTTCCGAATATTCGAATGAAAAACGGAACCCTTATGGGATGACTCGAGTGTCTGTCTGTCCGTCTGTCACAATTAATTTGCTCCGAATCTACTGGATCGATTTAGTTGAAAGTTAATACATATATAAACTTCTGTGACCCAAACACGGACGCATCACCTAAATAAATTAATTTTGAACATGGCGGGTCCTTTTGGGGGCCAACAGGAAATTAAAAAAAATTATGTGTATAAATTTACATTTGGAGTTTGAATGTATGGGAAAACATGTTTTTTTTAAGCACAGTGTTACGTTGGTTTTCGAATTAAGGTTCCGTACGTCCGAATGAAAAATGGAACCCTTATGGGATCACTCGTGTATATGACTGTCCGTTTTTGTCTTTAAAGAAGCTTTATTGTTTAGCGGCCGCTTTAGTTATTTTGAAAAACCAAATAAAGTGACACCTGCGCATTTTGTATCTTAAAATGCAAGGAAACTCCAAAAGTGGTAAAAAGTTTTAAAAAAAAAGCATTTAGAGTCAATGTGATTTGTTCAGTATCTACTTTCCGAAATCGCAAAAAAAGCCTGTTACTTGATTTTTTCGATTTATTATTTACCCACTACAAACTACCTCAAATTAATGAGGGAAAAATTGTTGCTGTTGTCCACTATTAAGTAACTAACAATGTCGTAGGATTTCATACTGTTACTTGATGTTCATAAAGGTTATTTGAAAGTGGTACGGAATATAAATCCTCGTACTTAACTATCTGCAATTTCACCTTTCTCTACTTTTACTGCTTGTAACAATTACTCTTATTACTCTTGTTTATCTTCGCAATATGAGTCTACATATTTATTAATGTGTGCATGTGTCTCTAAGTATTTATCATAATACAGTAACTTAATAGGTACACGACTCTTTCATTGCATTGGAACCCATGAAACATGATTTACGAGAGAAAGTGCTGTTAATTGATGAAATGCATGTAAAGGTACATCATAAATATAAAATTTTATCGTATATATGTAGGGATATATGCAGAATAATGTGCATCCTTAGTTTTCTGATAGCCTTCAATGTCTCCTGTCGCTATATTTTCACTGATTCCAGAGACACTATTATTTAATTTTAATGATGTTGATTATACGAATTATTTCGTTTATTAATAAAGGTGTTGTATAATAATAATCGACTAATAAAAAACTACGAATTTGTTGAAGATTGTGATCCGTTAAAAGAGAAAGGAAAATAAAGTTACGATAACTTTAGTTTCACACATCATACTTGTCCAGACGGTAGGGGTGTTTTTTTGATAAGTGAGGTTATATCGATTAGGTTACGTCACAAAGTAATTAATGGCGGACTAAAGGCACCACAATGCCAGATTGGAAAAGAAATTAGTAATTTACTTTCTATAAAAAGTATTGCCAATATCTCATAATTAATTGCATTATTTTCTGAAACATCATCAAGAAAATTTTAGATAGTACTAATAATACTATCGAATTCACTGTTGAATCCAAATTCTATTTTTATTTTCGTTGCTCTGGTAATAGATAATAAGCAATTAAATATTCAAGTGATAATCAATTAATTAATGATTTAACTAAATAATCACAGGTCATGAAAGCCGGGCTTGAAATGTGAAGCTTAACCTCAATATTAAAATTTGTATGGTTGCTTATGAATTTCCGGATTTTACAATACTTCTTAGTTAGTTTGTTTAAAACCAAAGTTGTCTCTGGATAATATACAATAGATGAAATTGTACCTTGCGGCTTTTTTCAAAATATCTGCTAGAAGTAGATCAAAAAAAGGTAACATCGAGCCTATAGCTATAATCCCGATTCCTTTGTGACTCGGTAAGGGGCTGTTCTAAACGAGATATGTCTCGGAAAATTGAAAAAAACACGGTTTTTTGCATTTCTAAAGGTGATGCCCAAAAATATCACTTGCGTTGAAGAAACTTCAAAATACGCGTATTTTTTAAATAAAAATCGTTGATCTTATAATTTGCGGCTCGAAAATGAAAAGAAAACAATTTTTCTGCAAGTTTTTGACCATGAAGAAAGGTTCTAAAAAAATCTAAAAAATATCAGACAAGTGTGCAATTTAACTTTGCATACTCATGAATTTTTTCAATTTTTTTGCCGCATAAGTTCTTAAGTAAAAAAATTATAAACCGTGAATAATGTGAGCCAGGTAGGATTCGGGATGCTAGATATGGCTCAAGGTTATTGTTTTTGATGTACCAATAAGGTCTAGGAAAGAAAGGTCTTGGAAAAAACCGCGAGGTACAATTTCACCTATTTTGTCTAGGGATACCCTTCACTTTGATGATTTAACACACTGAATAATTTAAAAAAAGTTAATTAACATTTTTAATAAGTAATTATAATGCGTTTGATACTCTGAAATGTTCCTTTTTAATAACAAGTTAGTTATACTTTATTAAAAGATGTTAAAGTGCTAAAGTGCACAGTTGATGAAACATATTTTTCTAGTTCCAACTCCTGTTAAGGATGTTTGGGAGGTATGTCAAAATGCTACGAGACAAATAAAAATTTGGACGATCAATTCTAAAACTCCTGCAAAAATTACAAATCGATTCACTAAACCGTTAAACAGTAATTGAAATTTTAAAAAATTGTAATTTTACACGTCATTTTATGGAGATTCGTTAACCGAATAGATTAAATTTATTTTTATTAACAGAAAAAAGCTACCAGAAATTTCAAACTTTTATAATAAGTAACTTGAACTCTGGAGAATCACTTTAGCGTAAGGTTATTCAAATTCACTA